CTGGGGACTACACCGGATCTCATTCCATATCCCAACAGCTTTATCCATATGAAGTTATTTTTCTCTCTTCTGGTTCTAAGTGGGCCCTGTGCTCTCTTAGAGGGGACATTTGTTACGATGATGACCGAGGAACCCAAACCCCGATATCCCCCAAACTCAAACTGTTTCTGACGCAGGGAGATTCTGTGCCTGGGAGAGGTGGGAAGAAGAACACAAGCAGGTCCGGGTAGCCCTTTATCTCCCAGCACCTCTGTGCTCTCTCCTGCCCAGTGACCTTGAAATGCACCTAAAGGGAAAGAAACACAAGGGCTTGAGCATTGTTCCTTCTAGTCCTGGAAAAGCCCTGGTTGGTTTGTTTCAGATGAAAGCTAATTGAATTAGCTCTGTTTATGCAGGGAATTAATCAGCAGCCGCCTGCTTCATCACATGCTGGTTTGCTCTGGATAGGAGCCTGCCACAACAGCAGTGATATTTGACCACTGCTCCTTCAAGCACAGACTGGACCTCCTGAGAGCCAGAGTGGCCTCCCTGGGCTGCAGAAAGCACCTGGGCTCCAGGTAGAGGAAGAACGGTTACAGAGAGACTCTGCTTTCCTTCCCCCAAGTTCACTCATTGTTGGTACAGGAGACAGAGGGCAAAGTCCAGGGTGGGGCTGTTCTGTTTCGTGATGTGACAGGCTGTAGTATGAGAGTCCTTCTTCCAGGACATCTTCTGATCTGGTTTTTGCTAAGCCACCTGATCCACATCCACTTCCATGGCTACCTTCTTATTACAGCCTAGGGTATCACAAGAAGCCACCATCCCACGAACTAGACTCTGGTTGATTTCAGTGCAGTTGTGTATTTGTTCTTACACCAGAAAACTCCCCTGGACAACTGTAGGGTGTGCATTGCTGTTTGGAAAGATGTATGTAGCCTCTGTGGAGCCCAGACACCCACCCCCCAGTCTCCTGTGTGATGTCTCATGGGTGGTAATACCCAAAGAGAAAGGCTGATCTTGTGTTCCAGGCACAAGCCTGGGAGTCAACCCATCTGCCCCTGACTTTGCACAGGACAGTGGGCAAGAAAGCGAGTTACACGCTCTGTGTCTCAGAATCCTTGTTTCTGTGAGTGATACAGTGGGGGCAGGTAAGAGTCACAGCCACAGCCGAGGACCCCAATATGCTAGGCACTGTACAGATCGCAAGCAGACAGCCCTCTCCCCAAACATCTGACAATCTAAGCAGAAGAAAAGAGATAACAGCTGGACGGGTATGCACACGGAAACGAAGGCTAGTTATGGTTACCAGTTTCATGCACACAGGGAAAGCCCTAGGATTGGTAAAGTATTTTTTGTTCAAATGCAAGAAGCCAGAGGGGAGCAGAGAGCTGCTACTCCAGTCTCTGCATGCCACTGCCAGCAACGAACCAACAGAAAACATGGCCTTTCAGAGAGGCTCCGAGTCTCATGTATCAGGGCTTCCTATTTCCTCATTGTTCTATTTCTTTTCCTGCAATCACGGCTGCCCCGGCTGTGCCCTGTCTTTATACGGCCAGATGAAACCTTGAGCCAAAGCTTAGTCTCATCCAGATTCGGCCAGAGGCAGGTCGCTCCTCCGTGATCTGCAGGCCCCCTGTCTAGACAGTGGCGCCCTGCCCCTTGCCTGGTTCTCATAGCCAAAGGGCAAACTCCACAATGACAAGGCAGATAGAGCACAAGCAGGGATGGGGCTAATCCTTCAGCAACTTAAAGCCTGTACCCAAGCCATTTGGAGCCTAGTGAAGAGGAATCAGCAAACCAGAAGCTCCCACAAGCAGGGCATCTGTCCACAGCTTCCAGTGATGCTCCTTTTAGCCGGCTTGTTAAAAAGTAATTGTGGATTAAGGTGAGTGGGCACAAACTCTAAACCCACCACTGGACTTAAGGCATTTACCTCTTGATCCAGACCAGTGATTCTCAACTGGGAGTCACAGCAAAAGCAGGGGAAAGGGCAGGGGAAAAAAAATTCCATGACATCTCCTTGAAAAGATAAGGGTTCTTCTGAACATTAAAAGAGAGAGGCAAAACTGTGTAGTAAAACACGCCTACGACTGAGTATCGGGACTCCTGGGTTCTATTCTCAGCTCAGCAACTGATGTAGGCAAGTTACCGTGCCTCAGTTTCCCTGCATTGGAAATCCATGGACAAAACATGCCATGCAAATGCTAAACAGTATTTGTTATCATCACGCCACAAACAAGGACGTCACTTGACAGAGAGCACACGCAGCTTCTGCTCTGAACACCTTGCTCTCTAGGGCTTTTGAGCCTGCAAGCTCGGTACGTGCACGCTGACAGACTCCTGTGGCTGCACGGAGCCTATCCCCGCAGGGCTGTGTCGGCACAGCGGTCTCCCAGACACATTAACCAGCAGGGCTGGAAGAGATCACGATCCCTCACTGCTCCGAGGGGTCGAAAGTATGCAAGGAATCAACACCTGTATTTCTTTTGCTAACATTTTGCCACAGGATTATGGGGAAGAAGTAAGTGGAGGGTACCAGACCTGGTTAACACACGCGCGGTGGTATCTCAGGAGCTGGGGGGAGATTCCAAGGAGGGTTTGGGACAAACCGGACCCAGTCGGTGCTGGAGATGCTGTTGTGGAAGGAGACTCCACACTGGCACCCAGCGGCTGCATGTTTTTCTCCACATACCCGGCTGTAAGGATAATTCCTGCGCTCTGCTGTCTTCTGAAAGAGAGCGTGTCCTGGGGGCGTGTGTCGCAGGGGTGTCCCTTGGGCAGGAGCCCTGTCTTTGCAAAGAGCACAGCAGGAACTCCAGGCACGGCTTGTGCAGCTGACACGGGTAGGCCCAGTGAGAAAGGGCCACCCAAAAGTCACCCGGCGCACTTTGCGTGCCCCTCCACGCAGCAAGCACCCCAGGCCGTAAAGCAGTGACTCTCAACCAGACGATGACACGGCACCTGGGGGGGCGGCAGATCCTTTCAAGGGTGATGCACAACATCAGCACGGTCGGGGGGCAGACGCCCACACAGACCACAACAGAAATCCAGGTGGGATTTCCAGTAGGAATCCAGGGTGGGCGCCACCCTGCAGTGGGCTCTGTGGAGTCACTGCAACAGAGGAATCGCCCTGGCATTTTGTCCAGTCGAAAGCCGAGGAGAAGCGAATGCGGCGGTGTTTTCCGAGGGGGGTCCCGAGTCCGAGGGGGGTCGAGAACTGCCACGGCAGCCAAAGACCAGGACCGTGGTGGCCGGTATCTTCTGTTGGACGAGCCGCATCACGCGCCCCTGCTGCGTCTTGGTCAGTCGAGATGCATCGCCTCGAGCAAGAGGTGAGCTGACCAGGGTCACCCGGCTGGGCAGTGGCAGAGCTGAGAAGAGACCCCAGGCGGCCTCGGCCTCGGCCCTCCCAGGTGGCGGAGATGGAGGCCCCGCCCCGCCGGGCAAGTGTGCGTGAAAGGGGAGGGGTGTGCATATGTGGGAAGGAGTGTGGGTGTGTGCTGCGGGAGGGGAAGGAGTGTGTATGGGGGGAGGGAGAAGTGCATGCATGTGTGTGAAGAATGTGTGTGTGTGAGAGAGAGAGTGTGCAGGTATGAGGAAGTGTGTGTGTATGGGAGGGGAAGGAGTGTGTATGTGTGAGAGTATGTGTGTGTGATGAAGTGTGGAAGGGGAAGGGGAAGGGGAAGGGGAAGGAGTAGGAGTGTGTGTGTGTGTGTGTGTGTGGGTAGAAAAGGGGGGGAA